AATGCTTTTGATGTGAGATTATATCTTTATTTATAGAAATATTGAAACCTTTATATATATTTTAGGTACTTTACAGTGGTGAATATGATATGAGGTTACAGTTAACTGTTGAAGATATTGAAATATTGAAGAGATATGGTGAAAGTGAAACTGAAGTTGATATCTACACAGCTCACACTATTCTCACTGGCATGATGTATAACTTTCGAGAAGTTTCAACGGGGGACAAATCAGGCCATCGATTGTGGATTGAAGAACAACTTGGATTTTCTCTAGAAAAACTTGTCCAAGTGGGTAGCTGTCAGTTGCATACTGACAAAAACATAGATTTTTTATTTGGTCACAATCTTGTAGCATGTCATGAACATCGATTTTCCATGAATATGGTAAAAAGAAATATTAGTATGACAGAAAAATCATGCAGCATCTTGCTTTTTTTAAGTGTAATATTTTGGTAAATTAATACTAACTTTCATTATGATTTTGTTTTTTATACATTGAAAACAATCATACAAAGCACAAAATTAGTATTTTTGCTTGGTTACCATAATATTTGTGACATAGATAATGATGGCAAGTGTAGTAAAATGAAAAAAAAAAGCAAAACAATCTTTCAACGTTCTATTTTCAGATCATGATAGTGGTTGTTTTAATGGCTGGAATTTGTGCTTTATTTATCTACCTTAAGTTTAGTGTCAAACAACTCTTTATAATTGTCTTTGTCTTTCTATTCTTCACAAGTTGGCTACTTACATGGTACACATTGTGTAAGGTAATTATTTATTCTACTTCATAGCTAAAATAATATCTTCAAATTAATTCAGATGAAATTGCAGTCAAATCAGGAACTGCAGTGTGCTTAGACTGTCACTTGTTTACCCCAATATCAACATCAGGTGGAGGTCTTTATTTTGCCAGTCACCTTCATAAAAATCACATGTAGATTCCTCAACGAGATTATCGAAAACGACCGACGAAAGATTTTCGAGTGCCTGCAACCGGTTGGTGAAACTCTTGACAAATATCATCAGATATGTGTATTTTTTTCATCTTTTCTATGATATCTTGTAAGAATAATAGTTTTTTTTTCAACCTATANTCATCAGATATAGGTGAAAAAAAACTATCATCTA